CAGCTGAGTAGGTCTGTTGTGAGGACTGAATGAAACAGGGCTTAGGTAAATGCTAGCTGTTATGATATTGTCAGTGCTGTTAACACCAGCCATCCAGAGCCTAGATCCCTTAGCCTCACCGATTCACGTTTCATCTTATGGGTCGATTTGGCTCAGAACAAACTGTTTCCCATTTGCCAAGCTCACAAGGGGCCAGAAAACAAAATATTTAGAAGGGGAAACTGTTTTCCAACTCTTTGTACACATATTTGCTCTCCAAGACACGCCCTTCTCAGGAGTGAGATATCCCGAAAATGCTACTTGCATTTACAACAAAAGCAAAGGGTGGAGCTGTTGGGTGAAATAAATTTCCAGACTGTGACAAAACAGAGATCTCTGATTCATCATAGAACCACCTTGACTGAGATCAGAATATCCCCAGCCACCCCATAAGACAACCTCTCCTACTCCCTGAAAGCAGGGATAAGGCTTGCCTTGTTCTCTACTGCCTGACTTACAGAGTAGCTTCTCAATAAATATTTATTGGCTGGGCGTGGTGGCTCATACCTGTAATCTCAGCACTTTGAGAGGCCAAGCCAGGCTTAGGAGTTCAAGACCAGCCTGGGCAACATAGGGAAACTCCATCTCTACTAAAAATACAAAAATAGCTCGTTGTGGTGGTGCCCACCTGTGGTCTCAGCTACTCAGGAGACTGAGGTGAGAGGATCGCTTGAGCCTGAGAGGTCAATGCTGCAGTGAGCTGAGATCATGCTACTGCACTCCAGCCTGGGTGACAGAGTGAGACCCTGTCTCAATCAATCCATCCAGCCATCGATCCATCCATCCATCCATCTAAATATTTGTTAAATCAGTTAATTCTTTGGGCAGGGCAGGTTTAAACACCCACAGCTTCTCCTTCTTCTCCTCTCCCTTTCTAGATTCTAGGCAAACGGATTCCCTTCTCTTTTGAGCAGGACAATATTCACTGTGTCACAGCTTTTTGTATGTTAGTTGTGTTGTGTTCTCCTGGATGGAAACAGCCTGATGAATTGCTGGAAGTGCCCTGTTCGCATCAATAATACGTTAAAAATATTCCAGCATGCCCCTTATTTGTACACACTGCAAACATTAACAATGGTGATTGCTACCCCAGTGGCTCAGGGTTGGTCTTCCTCTACGACCTGGGGCACTCTGTGGTCCAGGCACCTCTGGACAGAGGTCAGTAGCACATCTTTCTCCGGATGTGTGTGTCTGTGTGTGTGTGTGTGTGTGTGTGTGTGTGTGTGTGTTTGAGGGGGTGGTGCATTACATTTAACATTGCCTCACAGTATCAGCTTTCAGCTCTTCAAAAAACTCCATGAACCATGCCTTCATACTTCCCCCTGGATTTAGCTTGATTCATCTCAAATGACAAATCCATCTCCAAGCAATTCTCAAGGCAAAGACACTCAGCCAGACCTAAGGGAGGGTGAGCCCACCTACCTCTTTCGGCTGACACTCAAGGGAGCTTGCCAAGATAGGGCTGGCTGCCCACAGGCCAGTTGACGGGTGCTGGGGGGTTAGACACGTGGGAAGGAAACAGGCACCTTGTTTTCCTGCCTTGGATGGAATTGGCAGAATTCCAGATGTTCCCTACCGGGGCTCCAGCTCACAGCCCTTGGATAACATGTCTAATCACGAAGCTGTATCTCTTGCCCAGGAAGAGAATCCTGAGACTCGTCACAGTAACTGTCCCGTCCACTTGGCTTTAAAAGTGTCCAGCACCCTCCATCGGTTGATTCTCTGCAATAAAATGTGCACAGGGTATTTCCCTGAGAGGTTTTAGAGTGCCAAGGGGCAAGGCTTCCTGAAAGAGCCCTCAGGATCTGATTCAGATTCAGCAAATGAATTTCACCAGGGTAATCCTGAGTAGTTGAGTTCTCTCTCTCCCTTTCCTCCTCCTCCTCCTCCTCCTCCTCCTCCTCCTCCCCCGCCATAACTCCACAAGTTGTAACCTGGCATGCCTGCTCTCTGAAGCCAGAAATATGACAAATATTCAGATAAGCCGATGGAATTTAAAAGTGCAGGTTTATTGCTTTGCTAATGAGAACTGCAAAGCACACTTCAGAATCTGAGGTGTGCCTCTCTCAACTTTGCTTGTAATACAAATTCTGTACCTAGCAACGGAAACGCTTAATAACTGTTTGCAGAATGAATTAATGCATCTTATTTTAATGTATTATGACAATTTCATTCTTAAAAAGATATCATGGGGAGCACTTAATGTAAAAGAGTTTTCATATCGTTAGAAAATTTTGTTTTTATGTTTCAGGGGCTTAAAGTGAGGTCAACCTTTAATTTCAAGTTCAACCTCTTTTTTTTTTTTTTTTTTTTTTTTAAATAGCAGAGTACTATAGTAAAAATAGCTTGAGGTTTGAAGTTAGAGCTATTTTTCAAACCCAGTTCTGGTATATTCCCAGATAAGAGTGTGTAACTTACAGGTGTTATGAGGATGGAAAGAAGCAGCCAGGAGCATTCCTAGCACGTGGTGGGTGACGGGAATGGGAGGAAGGTGGCGTCCTTCATTTCTTGGCCTGACTCTCCACTGTCATACCAAGGCTTGGGATCTTTCTAATTCTACAGTGTAGAGTCACGTGCGTGCTGCTTATTTTACAGAAGCCAAAGAAAGGAAGGCGTTTAGTCCCATCAGCCACGTCCAGACGTAGCTTTCTCATGCCCGGACGCGTTTTTTAAATTGTGCTTTTCTATATTCAGTGCTATTCTGGATCTTACACACCAGTGCAATGCTGAGGCCTCCCTCGCAAAGCGTCTAACAGACCTAATCTTCATTATGTGCCGTCAGCACAACAAAAACTCTCAACAACTCATGAGGATCTCAGGGCCTCCTAACTGGCAAGCGTTTCGGGGAAATCACAGGGAAATTTGTTGGCCGCATGATTAATCCTGGGTGGATTGGTCCCGGAAAAACGCCTGTGGGTTAGCAGCAGGCAGCAGCTTGCAGAATCTCACAAAATAAACTGTCTAACGAAGAGGCTCCAAAAAAACGTGCCTTCCGGATGAAAGTTCAGCATGAGGGTGGGGCCTGACAATGGAAGAAAACGCCAGATGTGTGCACAACAGACCTCCTTTGAGCCCACACTAACACCCAAAGAGTTGACACATGGGACCAGATTATAAAACTCAACCAGATTATAACCCTGGAGGAGGGAAACCCAGTAGGGTGTTGGATCTTCAGAAAAGGATCATAAAATTCATCACCATAATTACTCCCCAGCCCAGCTCCCAACACAAGCCAACAATAGCTTCGCTCAGTGAAGTTATTCATCCATTTTCAAGTTGCCTCACTCATTATTCTCAGACAAAAAGCCTGTTGGGCCTCTGTTCCTCTGGCAGCCAGGCAACTCAGCACCCACCCTCACTCGGCCAGCCCCCCGCCCCCCAACCACTGCTTTTTTTAGTGGTGGAGTTTCCAGTACCAACGATGGTTTTTTGGTTTTACTGCCATCTTTTAGGACTACCTTTGACATTCAGGAGCTGGTTGAAGATAATCACAGCTAAAGCTTCCCTGCGTGAAAACAAAGGATGTTACCAGCAGCTGTTTCTTCAGCAGGGCTGGGATGCTGAAGTGAGGGCCCTCCCTCACTTTGCCCTGATGAACACGAAAGGGTGTCATTTGCAAATTGTCTCGCCAAAAAGGAAATGTAAATGAAAATACAGAATGGTATACATTCCAGTGGGAAGAGAAGTTCCAAAGACGGGACTGCCACGAATAACCCGTGGCTCCTGTAAAAAGAGTGGCTCAGTCCCTTTGAAGCAGTCAGCCCAGCACCGAGCAGTACACTCTATCATTTCCCTAGGACTGGGTATTTTTGTCTGTGTGGATAATTGTAGGAGCCCAGATTAGGTGCAACCCTCCTGCAAACCACTCCCTCTCCAAGAAGCATTCCTCTGGACCTAGGCCTACCTCGATCCTCAATTTGGAAAATGTTTACTTTTCACAGCACAGCTCAGCAACCTCCAGCCCCAAAGATCACAAGTTAGCTTACAATTCCTTCAACCAACCTTTAGTGAGCAACTACTACGTGCCAGGCTTTGTTTTGGCCATGGAGAAATCAAGGCTAGATGTGGCTACGTCCTCCAGAGCATATGTTCTATTGAGGGAACATAAAAATAAAAACCCAAGAAAAGAAACAAAACGTTGACAGATGTCAGCGGAGACCACCAACACAGCAACCCAGCAGAAAGAGGGAAGGTTCTAGCAGAGGCAAAGGGGAATGGAAGATGTGGATGCCCCCACCCCAACATGGGAGCCAATACGTTTAAGACCTAAGGAGTCGCCCACAGGTATTCGGTCACTGATGTGGCCTAAGATGAACATATGGCTCAAACCCACTTAAACCTCAATGTTCATAAAGCGCAACCATCCTCATGCAGTCCACACTCCTCGGAAGCCTCCACTTGGACCTTTTCCACCCACACTATCCTCCAAAGGGGATGAAGGAGGCCTCTTCCAGTCCACTGATGGGGTGCTGAGTGCGTCCGGCAGGCAGGGCGCCAGACTAGGTAGTCCCAAGGGGGACCAGGGCCACCGCAGAGGCGGGAACCTTCCTCTTGGCCCCAGCCCTCCTGAAAGTCCCGATTCTATGGGGCGAGCCTCTCCCGAGGCGTGCGCATGCCTCCAACACACCGCCCTATAGGAAGGAAACCCCAGTCCCTGCTGCCAGTGAGCGGGGCAGCCTACTGTGATCCTTCCACCCGATCTCTCCCGCGCGGCCGACTCGGAGGGAGGCCCCCTCTGCTGCCCACCTTGCAGCCTGTGGATTCCGGGGCTCCTCCTGGCACCCCCGCGCAGCTGCGTCTTTGGGACCTGGCACCGGCTGAGCCGCCTGGCATGCACACACACCCTCAGCTCCCCCGCGCTCCCCTGGACAACCTCGAATGCCAGGCCCGGGCATTCCAGCAAGTCTCTGCTCGCTCGTCCTCACCAGCGACCGCGGGAAGCCACTCGTGCTGGGTCTTACCTCCTTCTGCCAGGACCCAGAGCGACGCGCTCCCCAGAACCAAGAGCAGAGCTGACACCTTCCACATCGTTCCCGACGAGTTGCTCTCCCGGGGGCCGAGCAGCGAGTTTCTGCGATGGGGGAAGATTCAAAAGCGCCGCGGCCACAGGCCCAGCCCGGAGGAGCGCGACGGTGGGGGTCGGAGGGTGGGAGCGGCAGCCCCGGCGCAGGAGGGTGCCCGAGCTTCCCAGGCCCCAGGCAGCCGGACGGCAAACTTTGCAGTGGAGAACTTTCCGAGCGGAGTCAGCATTTATCTCCCCCGAGGAGGCGGGGGGAGCGGGGTCGGCCGCAAGGTGGTCTCGGTCCCGGCGCGCTGGGCCCGCCCTCGGGCTCTGTTTGGCCAGCGCCAAAACGATGATCTCAGGCCAGGTTTAAAGTTACAGGGCCGCAGCTGCGGGGCCGCCAGCACTGCGGGCCCTGGCAAAACGGGCTTTTATTCTGTTCAACAACAGGAGGGAAAGGGACCACATGCAACAAGAGGGGTTTAAAAAAACAATAAATGTTTTAAAACCCTAATATTTCTTACTCTTTTTTGTTGTTGTTGTTAAGAGTAAGCTACGAGTCTATGTTTTTCTTATGGGCAGAGGTGAGAAGTAAACTGTTCCTTGAGTGGCCAGTAGTTTTAGCACCAAGCATCGGGTTGTTCCTGTAAATATTGAATTTGATGGCTTAAAAAAAAAAAAGTTGGCCGTCATCTGGGTGGGCCGGAGGCGGCGCGCGCGCTGGTCAATTGCGCCCTTGTCCCTGGGACCGGAGCTGGCGGGCTCCGGGGGGCTGCCCCAGAGCTGGCCGTTGGAGGCGCGGGGGGGGGATTGGCAGAGCTTTGGCAGTTTTGAAGAAGAGGCTGAACTCCATCCGCCTCTCCAGACCCGGGGATCCAGCGCTGCAATGCTGGGGCCCATCGGCCTGCTCAGTCGGATTAGGCTGGGCCAAGCGGTGACCCATCTGGTCGCCAAACGTGGTTCCCTTCCAGGTCGGGCTCACCCTCTTTATTCCTGAATTTGCCCCCATAATCCTCACTTTACTGGTTTAAGCAATCTTGCCTTGATCTCAGATACCAGATATCAGCAACCAGAGAACTTAACTTTTTTACTTTTAATTCCTTAATTGTTGGTATTTAAAAAAAAAATTAAGAGCAGGAGTTTGGGATGGCCTCTGCTCCACTCCTAGATGCCACAAATTCCATTCAACAAAAGAACCTGAAGACTCAAGCTGTTTCAGAGCTCCACATTGGGTGACAATTGTTTGCAGATCCTTATCTTGACCCTTCCCCATTACAAATTTCCATCTAAGAATCACCCGGGAGGCTGTATTAAATGCTCAGATTCCTGAGTTCTACTCCAAACTCATTAATCAGACCTTTTGGGAATTCCTATTTTAAACCAGTGTCGCAGGAGGACTCGTCCCCTGGAACGTTTGGTAAACCCTGCCCTTCATCATAGCTTCTAAGCAGGATCTACCTGGGGCGTTGTTTATTGGGCAGGTACCAGTCTGTGGGGAGGCAAGGGGAGATTCTGCATTTCTAAAGATCTCTGAGGTACTGTCTTCTCCTGGGGCTACAAACGGGAGCTGAGCACCTGAACTAAGACAATGAGGGGCGGGGGCCGCACCCTTAGAGCCAAAGGGTCGGAAATGTAAAGAGAAAACTAGTGATACAGACACTTTTTCCTGAACCGACTTCCCCATCTTGGAGATGCATTTTATGACTCCCAGGTCAATAATGTCTGTTGACAGGATGAATTGTGCATTGTCTGTTGAGCCTGTTAGATGGAGAATAGATGCAAATCTATTGTGTGTGTAACTCCAAGGTCACACACGGAAAAAAAAGATGGACCGCTTTATTTAAAAGATTGAAACAAAATGAAGCCTAGGTGGGGGAGATTGGGTTACATGCAACTAATTTAGAGGGATGCTGAGACTAGGTCAGGATTCAAGGAGACCTGCCTTCTACCCCGCGCCCCCCACCATGTGTCTAGAATCTAGAAAACTGATCACATGACTTTCTAATCAGGATGGAGGGATGGGAGGTAATAAGGAGCTGTATTCAGCTGGGGGGCCGGGGTGGGGAGAGGGCTAGGATGGGGGAGTTTGTGGATCGGCTCTGGGTGCTGCTGGTCTGAAAATCTAGGGAAAGGGGCTGAGTCTTGGGAGGGGGAAGCTGAAGATCAGAGGGAAGAAAGAACTCACCCTCCTCAATATCAGATAGAGTCAGCAGGTCAGGAGAGAAGGGCCTTGAGCAGCGAGACTCCGTTAGCTAAGGGAGCTGAAGTGCAGCACAGGGGATTTGGAAGCATGGGATCCCGTCCAGCCAAAGGAAGAGGGAAAGAGAGGGTGTGTGCCTCCACTCTTGCCAAGCAGCCTAGGCTCTGAAAGCCGTAACCGTGAATCATGATGATGCGTTACTGAACAGCAACTGCCGCATACTGACCTTTACCTTCCTTCCAGGAACATGCACTGTCTCCTTTCAGCCCCAAAGCAACCCTTGGGTTCTGAACACTGGTGAGCCCATTTCACGCACAAGTGAGGTTTAGAGTGGATTCACCTGAAGGGCTTGCTTGCCTGAAAGGCAAGCTTGCTGGGTTCCACTGCCAAAGTTCTGATTCAATAGGTAATGGGTGGGGCCCAAGAATTTGCATTCCCAACAAGTTCCCAGATAATGCTGAAGCTACTGGTCCTGAGTCCCCACTTTGAGGACTGTGGGTTTAAAGGCCACCATGCAAATTGTCTGGGATCCTACAAGGTATGAGCTGTGGGGTCATGCATTTCTATTGCAGAGCAGGACTTGAGCCTGTTACTGTGCCTTGCAGGACTAGGTGGGAAATATCTGTACATTGCTCTTAGGAAGCAAGAGGACCTCAGGGTAGGGGACCAGCATTGGAATGAGGAGTTGAGCCAGAGCTGCCAGTTTGGGACCTTCCACCCTGAGGGATGCTGGCGACAACACACCAGGGTCTCCTCAAAATCTCTGTGATTCCTGAGGCCTCTGCATAGTCCAGAGAGCACCTGGCTGAGCTGCTCCAGGCTCCCTGGGCTGACCTTGCTGGGAAGGTGCTTCTCAACGTGCAATAGGACACCGCCTCAACCCACAGTGGTTCACGCCTGTAATCCCAGTGCTTTGAGAGGCAGAGACGAGAGGATCACTTGAGGCAAGGAGTTTGAAAGCAGCCTGGGCAACATAGCAAGACCCTGCTTCTATAAAAAATAAAAAGAACATTCTCCAGGCACGGTGACATATACCTGCGATCCCAGCTACTCAGGGTACTGAGTTGGGAAGATCGCTTGAGCCCAGGAGGTCAAAGCTGCAATAAGCCATGATTGTGCCACTCTACTCCCGCTGGGGTAACAAAGCAACACCCTTACTCTATAATAATAATAATAACTTTAAAAATCAATCACACACAGCCAGGTGCGGTAGCTCACACTTATAATCTCAGCATTTTGGGAGGCAGAGGCAGGCAGATCACGAGGTCAGGAGTTTGAGACCAGCCTGTCCAATATGTAAAACCTTGTTTCCACTAAAAAATACAAAATTAGCCAGGTGTGGTAGCGCATGCCTATAGTCCCAGCTACTTGGGAGGCTGAGGTAAGAAAATCGCTTGAACCCAGGAGGCAGAGGTTGCAGTGAGCTGAGATCATGCCACTGCACTCCAGCCTGGACAACAGATTGAGACTCCATCTTAAAAAAAAAAAAAATTCAACACACAGTGTCCAGAGCTGAGATATCCCCAACTGAATCTCTGATAGAAAAGGCAGCTCTAGGGCCCAGGAATAAGTAACACACTTAGGGGTTTGAGTAGGACCAAAATTCAAAATTCTGATTTATAACCCAGACCACTACAACTCCGACTGGACAGAGGACCGGCCTTACCAACATTCTCTCCTGATAAACTACTGCACACCTCAAGCCCATTTCAGCAGCTAAGAGAGGCTGCATACAGTCTTTGTGTCCTATAGTTCACCTTCTGACCTAAAGAACCAAATGCCACCTCATTTTAACTAAAACCCCCTCCAAAGTGAACATGGGATGTAAGTTACATGTATGTTCACCCATTGTACATGCACTTGGATCCCCGCATATAAATAAACAGGGTTTCCTCCAAACCTGCTAAGTATGATCACAGGCCCTATAAGGCAGAAAACTCAACCTGCTGTCTGAAGAGAGCACATTAGGTCCAGCTGAAGATGTCTCTTCCTGGTTTGTAAACTGACATTGCCACTAATATTAGCCATCCTGGTGGTTTCCTGGATGACACAGGGAAAGACAGTTTCACACTGCCCATCTGGGACTAAAGAGATTTTTTTCACCCCAGGATATACTCCATAGTAAGATATGGGATGGATAAGAATCGGCTTTTTTTTTTTTTTTTTTTTGTGAATTGGGGAAGGTGCTACATTGTCCCAGAAGTTTCAGTAGAAAGCTTAGGAGCCAGGTGCAGTGGTTCATGCCTGTAATCCCAGCATTTTGAAAGGTCAAGGCAAGAGTATTGCTTGAGGCCAGGAGTTCAAGACCAGCCTGGGCAACATACCAAGACCCTGTCTCTAGAAAAATATTTTTATAAAATAGAAGAAAACTTAGGAACATTGAGGCATTGGAAATTGATCCCCTTGGATCCATCCTTGCTGGCATTCTCCTGGGGAAATCTGTATGCATCTTTCATTTGAACATGCCTGCCCTATAACCCTGTGGAGCTGGGTCTCCTCCTAGCACTAGGGCTGTCTCCCACCCCACTGTAGTTAAAGGATTGAACCCAGTGTGTTCCCAGCTATGTGTCTCTCTGCCTGCTTCGATGATATTGTAATCTCCCAAAGCCAGGAGCTTAGCTTTGGGAGTTATATTTCTGTCTGTCTGTCTGTCTGTCTCCCTCTCTCTCCCTCTCTCTACACACACACTTACACACACACACACACACACACGTTATTACACTGCTCCATAAATACTTGTGAAAGTCAAGCTTGTGATTTTCCTTGGCCTGCTGGAAGATCCTCACCATGAAAGAACCTCAGCCCAGCCTGAGCCTGGAAATGGAGTCAGTGACATGTCATTTACAAAGACGAAACAAGCAAGTGACTTCTGTGTTTTTCGGGGCTGCTGGGAGAGCCCTGCCGGCACCTCCCCAAATCTCAGTACACTTCCCCTCCTCATAGCAGACTCACTGATAGCTAGAATCCTTTTAGGTTGCCAGTGCACCTGGGAAGGAGACACACTTAGCATAGTCAGTCTTGCAGACCTTGACGTGCATGGGGTTCGCTCCCTTTCACAGGAGGACGTTTAGATGAGGTACCCTGGATACTCATTTCTTGGATGCTGTCAAGGAGTAAGAGCACAAAATAGAAAGCCTGGGGCTGCTGGAGACACATTTTCCCATTTCATATTTCAGTTTGATCAAACAGGACTTGCTGGCCGTGACGTCTCCTGAGCCTGGCTTGAGCCAGTCATCCTCTCTCTGTCCTCTTATCGGACAGACGTCACATGTGGTCAACGCTTCAGTGGGCAGCTCTCCCCTCTCACTTGGTAAGGAAAGGTTGAGTCTTCACCAGCTGCATCTTCTGGTCGTGCAGCATCTCAGGACAAGGAACAAGGTGCGACGT